CCACTGAGTTTTTTATTACGGTGTGTAAATGAGATTTCACAGAGCGGCTATGTTACATTTTATGAATGGAGACGTATACATGTGCGTTTACAAACTCCAACTTGATTTCTAAACATCACAGGCAGGCATTGGCCAAAGTGAGACAAAATATGGCTTTTTACAAAAAATAAAACATGTAAGATATATACACATGATACAATTGCTTTCATTTTGAACAGAATATCTATTTATACTCATCATCTTCATTTGCACAAAATATGCAAAGACATTTTATATACAATACTTTTCTACTTGAAAATTATATTTTAATTTGAGCATCTTATCTGTTTCCTCTGTCATGCTGCTGCCACCCAATACATGGTTGTGACCGACGGCAGCAGAGAAAATGAAACATTACTACAGGAAATATGTAAAGTTATTAATTTATTTGCAAATGCACACACAAAATTTAGCAGATAAGACGCCTGCATATTAAACATATCGGATTACTGATCACAGGAGATCTTTATTCAAACAAGGGCTTAAGTAAAATATCAGGTGAAGTCATCTTACACTACAGAAGATGACAAGCAGCTTAATGAAGAAAACAAACCGCAACTGATTGCTTAGAAGTAATTATTATGGATTATTCCTGACAGATGCTTTTCCCTACAATATCAACCAACTAAAAACATCATATTACATTATTTAAAGCCAGGAATAACACACAAAAATGACGCAACGTGTTTAGTAATTTGGTTTGAGATGGATTTAGTGTCTTTTCCACCTTATTTTATCCTGAACTGAAATAAATAATCATGTGTTGTGCAGTTGCCTTTCTGCGAGTGTGTCGGCGCTGCAGTCAGTCCTGCCGATAGGGGTGTGGAGAGGGTACAACGTTGCTATTATGTTACCACAACACCCTGGTGCATGTCGCCATTTTCAGAGCGCTTTTCTCAGGACGGCGTGTAGCCAGGGGAGCCTCGCCGTGGGAAGAAAAATCCCCCCAAGAATGCGTTCAATCAACTCTCACACACTCTGCTCCAAGTGTCACTCTCTCGGTACAGTTTCTGTGTTGTTAACCGCCTAGAGCTGTTGTGAATCCGTCGAAACGCACGGCCAGTAAACGCAAGGCCCAGCATTATTATTAGTACTATATGATTAGCCTCTTGAAATTTGATGTTTAACGTTTTTTCTGTTGGTACAACGGCGACCAAAGCAACAAAAAAGTATTTTTCTAGTCGATTAAACGAAAAGAATGTCGAGGTAAAAACGGAAATATTTGGTCGTTACGGCCATAACGCAACAACCGAGCTAACGGAAGCTAACAGCATAATGCGTAGACAGAAGTGGATTAATGCTTGGGTCGTCACAGACAGGAAAGACCGACGACATCAGCAAGCAGGCTACCAAAGCCGACTGAACATTATATGCGGTAATCAGTGCCAGGGCGTGCAGAAAAGAAGCGGCAGGGCACAGGATGACTAAGAGAGATGCTTATTGAGAACCTAAATGGAATATCCCCTCCCCCATGGCTGCAGCGTTTGATCCCAACACACACCGACTCTAAAATAAGTCACTAAAACCTCAATCTGAGCTCCAAAGTCGCAAAATATCCGTTTTCTATAATGCGTTTGCTTGAGGTTTTATTTATCCTGCTTCGGCTATGAATCCAAAACTAAGGAGGGACTGTAATGCAACCCTGAGTATTTAAGGTATTTCAACAACTGGCTTTGCTCTAAGTTGCCTGGGACATAAACTAAACATATCGGTTTATCTAAAGGCTCATTGTTCTCCGGATTTGAGCGGTGGTTTTGTAGTTTTTTTCTGAACGGAAATGATACTGTAAGGCGAGGCAACTCGAAAAAGCAGCGCTTAGTTAGCTCTTTAAATACTAATACTACGTTTGTAACATAATAAAACTAGCAGGCGCGTTTGTTGACAGGTTTTTATCAAATGTAGAGCAATATAACGGCATGGTAATAAAGGGTGTTGCACTCTGTAGTGTAAGGGATCACAATATGGCTGCAAGATTGCTCTATATATAAAATAAATAATCTGCATTGAGGTAATCTAATTCTGTGCAATTAAAATCAAATGAAGGTTACGATCGGAGGTTAGATGCAATGAGACTGGGTTATTTGCAAATATGACAGACGAAAATCCAGCTGGTTAATTTAGTATGCAAGTGAGGTGGAGATTTCCACTAAAACGCGGTCGGTCAATGGGGTTATAGACTCTCGCACTGCCCATATTTAATGTATGTACACAAAAGCGAATAAAACTGTGCGCAATATGGCCCGCAGTGTCAGCATGTCAAACTAAAACACCCGAGTGACTCCCACTTCACATCTGTTCATGTGTGGCCGCTGATCGGAAAGCATACGACGGGTTTTCCAACAGACATTGAGAAGTGTTAATGTTCTCAATGGAGAGTTTTGATTGTGGACAGATCAATGTAATGTAGCGTTTTCATGTTACGTTACTCCAAATTAGTATTATTAACCCTGCTCTAACTTTGCAAACGCTTGTCATTGTAATCTGTTTATGACTTCTACATAATATTTACCCATTTTTACCGGTGGTGTAGTGCATCACTACGCTATAAACGAGAAGTCAAAGCCTTATTCGGTTTGTGTCAAGCTAATTTGAGATAGTAGCATGCGCTAGTTAGCAAGTGGTCAGTTGGCTTGACAACTTCATGATTTTAGTAGAAATTGATGGTCTTTTGTAAGAGTTTTAAAGGTTTGCTCACCATAAAACAAGCGAAATAAACTTAGCACTTAGATACTCTGATTTACTAAGGTTCAAGAGCAAGTTAGCAGGCTACTCTCAGCTGATATGTTAGCAGGTAACACCATGCTAGCTAACTATAGACAACAATACACGTTCAGGCTTCATTTAACCTTAATCTATAATCGCCACATAATACAGTTAACTTACCTTTTTAAGTCCACTCTGGAGGCTTTGAATAGCGAATATGGGGACCTGGGTGAGACCCCAGTCGCAGCTTCCACAACCAAAACAATACTTCAGTACACACACTGCGGATTCCTAGCCTAGGTTTAAAATGTTTGTATTCAGACGTGTTCTCTCAAGGTTCCTTTTCCTGTTTTTGAAGAAAATGCGCGCCAGTTGTTTTACGTTGGGGCTCCTCAAATGTAGCGAAAAATGGACTCGAAACCGTTAGAAAAAGCCTTAGAGCCCCAGTCAACGGCGACTTTTAGAAATTAGATCCCTTCAAAACCAGTCTCTTTTCCCTGTGCAAAAAATGGCGGCCCTGCCAGGACTCCCGAGACTCCGCCTCCCCCACGAACGGGCTCCGCCTCCACATTCTGCGGGGCTACACTCCCCGTTTGACAGGGGCGCCGTGATCGGTCTCCTTGCGCGTTCACGAGAACGAGTCTTCAAAAAAATCTCCAGGATGTCTTTCTGTTCAGCTACACCACGTCAAATTATTTTTATAAAAACGTTCAATCTGTATTCATTTAGATAAATAGAGCTGCTGATTAGATTATATTTGTACTGTCTACCCATGTTACCTTGCCTTTTATAACTTTATTCCCCAGTTTAGAAAATTTAAGCAAAAACTGTCAATTATGTCAAAATGTTTGAAAAACAAATGAGAATAAACTCTTCTCCGAGATTAAAGTGGAATAATATGGTGACTTAGAAGGGTCAACAAAATGCAAAACCCATAACACAACAACAAGAAGCCACAACAACACCAAAAGCCACAATGCATGTCATGCTAGCACCTTTAATATGACTTGCATTACAACATAACTTCCCTTTTAGCATGACTTCAGTTTTAGCGCAACTTTCGCTTTAGCACAAGTTTAATTTTAGAGTAACTTCCATTTTAGTACAACTTCAGCATAATTTCTGTTTTAGCTTAACCATAGTTTACATTTCAGAATAATTTTCATTTTAGCATAGCTTCCATAGCATTGAATTATGGTCCATGTATTATGGATTTATTCCATCATTAAAATATGATTTATAACAACAAAATACACTATGATGTAATAAAAAACTCTAAATGTAAAAATAGTTAACATTTTTCACTTTAAGTAAATTTTTGATGGCTTAAATCATAGACTCCAGAGTACTTTGTGCTGTTTTTAAACAGTCATTATCCAAGTGATAATCTTTTGAAAGTGAAGTCAGCTGTCTGAATGTTTTTATCAGGAGGTTTTGTTTAAACCAATTAACTGCTTCCTCTCCTGCTTCCCATTTTCCCCTCCAAGGATGGAAAGAACAGAGTAATAAAACAAAATCAGGCAGTCTTCTTGAGAACTTGGTTTTAGTGAAGACTCACCTTATAAGTTCATACATAAAAATGTGACATACATGTGAATGTATGATTTTCTCCCCACAGCATAAATAAATAAACAGACAAAATAAGGTATTAATTCTTCTAAATTTGAGATCCATTCCTACTATTGCTCTTTTCACACATTTTACCTGTTCTATATTATACATCATAATATATTTATTGCGGTAGATTTTTATTAAACAATACTAGGATTTGAATCTAGTAGTAGCAGGCTTGTAAAGGATCACCCAAATCCATAACAACTCAGCAGAAGGCTAAGCTGTTATGTAACCTCCTTACACAAGAGCAGTGTTTTATGGGATAAAATTAAATAGTGAACAAATAGATAGACTCCATAAGAAAAAATTCATAAGAAACCATTCAATAAATCCACATGGAGTTGTTGCTAAAAAGAGAATGCTAGACTTGAAGTAAGTTTACATAGATATGTAGTTCGATATTTTTATCCTACTACGAGCTTAATTTGTTGGGGGTTTTTTCAGTTGAACTGTGTGTATGGGGGGGAGTAAATTCTCATTTTGTTTACATCACAAAATTTGACCTTTTAAATGAGTGTGTATAATCTGACATCCACTGCATGATCAGAAATCATTTATTCAGTTACATTTTGTGTAAAATGTGTATTACCAGTCCCTATTACTTAAAGTAAGGTTTCATAAAATAAAATCACAGAGCACCTCTCTAAAGTAGTAGTGTGTATGTAGAAATCCCTTTGACATCATATGTGCAGGGAGGATGTTCTCATCCTTTCCATTCGTCGACCCTCCCCCACCCTGAACTGCACCCACTGGCGCATGCGCCTTTTTGCGAGACAGCAGCAACTGCTGGTGCTCGCGCAAACTTTGAGGACGACGGCAGCAGTATAAAAGGCTCGGTCCGTTCGCTCCGGTTTAAAAGTCGGAAATGTGCGGCCGTTGAGGACACAGACATCACAGGTCGAATTACATGGAAAGAAGAACGCATTTTTTTTTCGATCGCCATCTTATTTCTTCTTTTGAAGATGATTTCGATTTCTTCACGTTAAGACTTGATGGTGGGATATGGGAATTGTGGTAGTCCCTTAAAAAAGAAGGAAAGAAAGAAAGAAAGCGAGTGATGAAAACGGTCTTTTTTTTTTTTTTTTTTTAAGAAATGGTTGGTTTATGATGACATCATGCAGTTAGTATTTGTGGGCGGGCTCTGAGCTGAGAGGGGAGAGGGGCGCAACCGGAGAGCACTAACGGCCAGGCGCCATTAGGTAACAATGTCACATTAATGTCCGTTTAGGAACAAAGCATTCATATGAATTACCTTTTAAAACAGCTATGTCGGTAGCGTGTGTGTCTACACAAAATATACGAGATAGCTGTCAAATCATGAGATGTAGCCTTCTTTTTATTTGGTGAAGATGGATCTCGACCTAAAACAAGATGGCGTCGAGTTTTTTTCACCCCCCCAATTAGGGCGGCGGCGCCGTGCGCGTTCTCGAAACAATGTTATTTCCTGTTTTCGTGGTGGATTGTTCTTAACCGAAAGACCTCAGACCGAGAGGTTGATCTTGAGTTTATAATTTGGCTTTTCAGGTTTTTTTTTCCTAAGTTTTGCTGGTGGAGAAGATAAATATTTTCTCTGATATGGGGAAAGTCCAACACACGACAGAAAACATTAAATCATCCCAGCAGTTCCATTTTTATGTTACACAAACACCAAATGTTTCCCCTTAACAGTGTTAAAGATAGTTGGAACATACTGAACAGACACCACATTCACTTTAAATATTAGTTTAACTTTAGCCCCATCTAGCGGACAAGATAAGTGATTTTCAATGTTTGCAATGAAAATCTTAAATTAGGTATAATTTTAAAATGATATCTATGATTTAATTAAAAATTTCCAGTCCATATCCTCTTTAAAGAGGGGAAATATAATAGTTTATTATTATTTTGACTGCTCCTTGATGGAGGTGTAGTTTCTAATTTTTCAGTTTAATCTCAAAGCATCTGAGGTCACTTCAAATGGAATAAGCCATTTTGCTCACATTTCTAGACAGTAACATTCTATAATAAGACAACAAGAATTACCTTAAATAAGGGTATTTGATGTTGACGTCAAATAAGAGTTTGATGTCAACAATTTATTTTGAACAATTAATGACTCAATTATACAGAATATATTTTAGGAATGCTGGGTTTATTACTCCGGTACCCAGGACTGAAATTAGTAAGATGTGGGCCCTAACAAAATTATTTTTAGTTATGCAACTTACAGTAGATTGATAATTGAGAAGGCCCAATATGAAGTTAGACCCAGTTATACAGGTTTATTATTTATGCTTTTACGACAGCATAAATAAAGAGGAGTAAACTTTCGCCAAAATAATTCAGAAATTTTTAGATTAATCTCAAAGATTTTCTACAATAAACAAGGGAATTTTTTTTAGGTTGAAAGGTTGACAATTAGCTAGAAAAAAAAATCTAATTTTGAGATTAATCTTTCCGCAACAAAAAACGGACATTTCTGAGTTTGAAAAGCTGAAAATTTACTAGGAAAAAAGCCCCTACTAATCCTTCTTTTCAATCTGAGGTGGCCCTAATACGCCATGCCAGGCATTATATTTTTATCCCAATGTTGTGAAAAATAAGTTTTTACAGCAAAAGCTGTTTTTCCCCTGTTGACCGACAGAGGACGCTGTGTTAACCGAATCCACAAAGGGTGACGTCAATTCCTGTCCAATCGGAGCTGACGTTGTTCTGAGGTCGTTTATTGACCAGACAGGGAAGGTGACTTCGGGAGCATTTAGTCCACATCTAACCCCTTACTGGACGGGGTTTTAATATATTATCGATCATGTCTTCCTTTGGAAGGGCGATCGGAGTCCTGCGGGCCGGAACCGGGTTGCTTAGGCACGGCCCAGGACGGATAACCAGCAGAAAGTAAGCTAAGCTACAACATTCGCCTAGCCGCAGAATTACCCGAATATATGTTAGCATAAATCCGCAGGAGGAACATAAACAGTATATTGGTGCAGCCTGGTTGATTGCGGACGTTTAACGCCTGTTTTTCGGTTGTAGGGCCAGCGGCGGACCGCACATTGAGCCGCAGTACAGACAGTATCCACAGTTAACCAAGAAGCAAAAGTTCGAGTCGGAGTTCATCAGCGGAGCTATGTGGTTCTGGATCCTCTGGCACTGCTGGCACGACCCAGATGCGATCCTGGTACGTGAGGCAGAATCAACCTAGAATATATACTTTATAATTTAATCATAACTGAGATCTTAATGTTTTTTTCTTTGTTTTGTTTTGTTTTGTGTGATTTTCATAAAATTTATGGTAAACTGATGAAGGATTATATTTTTTCTGTTATTTTTGGGTGGAGGCTTTATAGAAAAAAATAGAAATTGTCTGGAAAGAATTTGGAAATTTTTAAAGATTATTTCAGTTTTATCTCAAGATGTTAGTTTTTAGGCAGAAATGAACTCTTTTTATACGCGCAATGGCTGTGACATGCTGTCAGGTCGCTGATTCAATGTAATGCAGGGTTTCCACCATCACTATTTAGTCAAATATAAGAAGATGCTAACTTTTGTCGAGCTGAAGGCTTGGGGTCAAATCCGGCCCGCCACAGCTTCTTATGTGGCCTTATATACTCCAGAGGGATGCATAAATAAAAACTTTGTGTGATGTATTTTTTTATTATTTAAAGATGTATTTTTCAAATACAGATATTTAGAATTTCAACAGTTTAGTGAGTTTAGTCAATAGGTTCTGATACAATCAGCCATTTAATTCATGATCCTGATGGGCCAAAATGAAAATGAGTTGGACTCTCTAAATAAATAATTGGTTTGACCCATTATTGCTTAAAAAAAACAAAACCTCACCTCATCCTGTATGTTATGTTGATTTCCAGATATGTAAACCTGCAGTGGGAGGCAAAATAATTCATTATCTAATGAAGCGGTTGTGAAAAGCTGAGGCCTTTGCTCTGCTGTAACGTTGACAGATGAGGGTTTTTGCAACTGAATCAAGACGAGTCTTACCTTTAACTGCAGGGCCACTTCCCCTGGCCTGACGCCTCCAAGTGGACAGACGAGGAGCTCGGCATCCCGCCGGATGACGAGGAGTAAGGTGCTCCTCTTTGTTTTAAATAAACCTCAGTTTGGTTCAGAAACTCCATTCACTTCTTTTTAAAGTAAATATTGTTTCCACCGTTTTTAAACAAGCGTATTTCTTTTGCAGATGACAAACTGAAGGAGTTTTGCGAGAAATCCTGCAGATGTTCTGAAGTCATCGTTGTACATATAATAAAGTTATCTTTAAGTTACACTTTTCTGTTGATTTTTAAATTAAAAAAACAAGTTACTAATTGACAAAACTAGAAAATGTTTGGTTTAGAGTTGAAGAACTCTTGTTTGTCTAAAAACCACTAAAGAAAGGAGACTTTTGAAAATAGATGGGATATTCTCAAAATATAGAAATTCTTGCCCCTCTTGTGAAATTACAACTGATAAATTTGAGAGTCAAGATTTTTTTACTTGAGCTTGTCTGACAATATGAAGTAGGCTAAAAACAAAACAAAACTAGCAACAAACAAAGTCTGGAAAGGGTTAAAGACTCCAGTAAGAAAATTTCATATGTAGTTTCAAATTTATGAATTTTGGCCCATTTCAAAAATAAATTCAGTGAATTCCAGGTCGATTTCTCTCCAAAAGACAAATTTTATAAAATCCGACTGTCATGTTAAAGAAGTTAGACGATGGCTGAAGCCTATGATTTAAATTAAGTTTGACAGCAGTATTCAGAGTTTTGCCAACTCAAATGTAAAGATTTTTTAATACAATTAATGGAATTCAAGATCTATGACTCAACTGAAATGTACGAACTTCGTCCAGCTAACTGGTGACAAATTTGCACTTACCCATAATAGACGCAAAAAAGCTAACAAGCTAGCTGGCGACGGTAGCCTCAATGAAGACGTCCGAGTGCGACTCAAATATTTGCCCGACATAAAAGTCCGGCGAGAAAAAAATTAGACTTCACGGAATTAAATAATCATGTCAAGATAATTTAAAATGAGAAAAAAGAATTTAAAATAAGGAGAAAAAAAATCTATGAATTTTAGTTTCATTTACAAGCAATTCTTAAAATGCGGAATTCGTCCAGTCATCAGGCGATAAATTTGCACTTCATAGAAACAAATAGCTAGCTGCTAACTAGCAGCGGTGTCGCCATAGACATAATATAAAACATTATATTATGTCTATGGGTGTCGCGAAGGCCAGTGAGGGGGAAATATAATGTATGAAATGAAATAGTCATATACAGTCAAAATTTAACAACGACGTTTTAATTTTGATAAGCAATTTTCGAAATGGGATCTTACACTTGTGATACTGGGGGAAAAAAAAAAAAAAAAACTAGCTAGCTGCCAACGTTTTGTTTTTAGATAAATTTAAGACTTAAGAAAGCGCGGACACCCATGTTTTGTTTTTATTTCATTCGTTTTATTTACAAGCAATTTTTGAAATGCAGAAACAAATGCAACGCATCAACAGTGTCACAGTTAGCCAGTGTTTGTAGATTTCAAATCAGAAGCAATCTTTTGCAAGAACCGACAACACAAATGCTTAAAAAAAGCAGGAAGAGGAGGGAGGTGGTAAATCCTGTGTGAATACTACAACTTATAAACAAACCCTGCCTGCGGGCCAGCTCTCGTTTTCTTTTCTTTTTTATTCTTAAATGACTTGACATGCAAAGAATTGAAAAAGTTAGAGTGTAGTGTAGGGAATCAGCCTGGCGATCATCACACAGTTACTTGTAGGTCAACCTGAGAAGTTTTCCCAGCCTCACACTGTTAACAGAATGGTCTTAAAGCTATATGGCAGTTCACTGATGAGGTCAAGGGTCAACTCCAGGAAGGTGATGAATGAGTAACACTGAGCTGAACACAACTTGGAAGTTTGAGGGACAACACCAGAAGATACAATGACTAGTGACAGCAACCTGAAAAACCTCAAAATGGAGGTTATTTTCACTTTTTTTTTTCTTTTTTTTTTTGGAAATATGAAAACAAACCTCAGCTTCTCGGAAGCAGGACTTCCTGAAAGTCCTGGGAGAGCTGAGAGCGTCCTGTCTGCATCCGTGATGATGTGGCTGGTGGTTAATCGGAGGTTAATGTCCATGGCATCATTCCCTGAGAGTGAAGAACTGCTCACGTTTCACAACATCACTGGTACTTAAAATAAAAACAACAATACTCACTCATTCCCATCGGAGGTTCCTCGTTTTTCTGAACACTTCGAGTGTTTCTACCCCTTGAACTTTTCCCCATTTTATCACTTTAAAACCACTAAATTTAAACTATAGTTTTTACGTGACAAACCTGAAGTATTGCATTGCATAATCCCTTTTTTTTACATTAAGTTAAAACAAACCCCAACTTCTTCCCTAAAATAAAGTTAATTCACCAAATTCACAATCTCTACTTCGAAACTTGGTGGTGGCACCATAGTGCTAAGGGAATCTGATTAGTTGCCATGTTTAAAAATGGTTAATTTATAGAATATATTGGGAAAAAAAAACTAGATGTATACAATCTGAGCTGAATAGTCTACATTGTGAAACATGGTGGTGGCAGAGTCATGCTATGGGAATCACAGTTGGCCTATTTTTTAAATTCTCATTTTAATTGCCGTTTAGAAACAACCAATACTGCTCACCATTCTGAGCTAAATAGTGACTCCACTGTGAAGCATGGTGGTGGCAGAATCATGCTGTGGGAATTTTAGCCTCAAAATATGAATTTGTAAAAAAAAAATAAAATAAATACACCACTTTTAAATGAAAAGAGCACCTCCAGTGAAAAATGCAAGGTGGTAGAAGTATCATGCTGTGGGAATCAAGAGTTTGTAGCCAAAAACAAATATACATATATTTAAAAATGTATGTTTCCTATTTTATATGTGAAGTAGTCAAAAAGATAAATATAAGCTTGTGACTGAAAGCCAACACTGCAGCTCACTCTGAACTGAACACTGGGAAACATGGAGCTGGCAGAGTCATGCTGTGGGACTCAAGTTTTTAGCAAACATAAAACTAATTAAAATATATTCTTATATTAATTAGTGCAAACAAACAAAAAAGAAACTGTTAGAAAACTGACACTGCACTCCACCCGGAACTGAACACATTTATGGTGGTGGCAGAATCATGCTGAGATTATAAATTTTTATTTTAACATTTATTAGATAAAAAAAAGTCAGGAACTGTTGTTGAAAACAATAAATATGTTGAAGAAAGAAGAGTGTATAATTTCAGTTATGGGAATCCCCTCTGGCGCATTACTCAGCCCCCTGCAGTTGTCAATATAATGGGAGCAACAATAAACTAATTCGATTTTAAATTATTTGCTTGGAACGCAGAACTAATGTTCTACATTTTTCTCTACTATTACCTCGGTGTATCATACATTTTCTTTAAAGTAACAAAAAGGAGAAGTTCAAGGGGTCTGAAAACTACTAAAGTACTTTGTACCGACCACAGTGGCTCAGATATTTAGGTTTTTTTTGCTAATTAAAGTTAAGTGGCACTAACTGAGAATGTTCAGGTGAAGACGTGAAAGAAATAAACCTAACCTAAGTCTCTACTCACACATCGCCCAAAAATCACTGGGAAGAGACGGGAATCAACACAGGCTCAAGTCAACCGCAGAAGGAAAAGATTTGTGACAGAAAGTTAGAAAGGTCAAAGGTCAACTGCTACTCAAGACTAAAAACATCCACATTTACAAAAATGTTTAAAGATTAAAAAAAGAAAAGAAAGACCTCTTAAAACCCTCAAAACTAAAGGTTTCATGGTCATTTCATAAAATCATCAATTCTTTCAATTAATAAATACATAATCCATAAACACATTGAAAATGAAACTGATAAAATGAGAAATAAATTAAAGTTAAATCCTATTGAAAACAAATTGAGAGGCAGCGCTCTCTTCCCGCTCTCCGCCTCTCCTCTCGCTCCAAAGTCATTATTGCTGGTGTGATTGAGATAAAAAGAGGGAGGAAGGAAAGCACGAGTGGAAGAAAAATACAAAACAAGAAGCACCATTTTGAAATTTCAGTTCGTCGCCACCTCCATTTTTTTTCTTTTAATTCCTCGAAGCACCACGTTTCAACCTGCCGAGCTCATCGCAGGTTCTCTTAGACTCGAATGCCCGCTGAAACTTCAATTTAATCCACATGAAAATTCTCTTTTTTTGTTCTTAGTGTGCTTTTATTTTTATTATTTTCCTGTGAAGATTTGCTCAAACTCAATACCCTGTCTCCTCAGCATGCACAGTGAGCGTGTTTTCAGATCCGGTCCGTTGCGGTCGTCTCCATATTTTTCTTTTCTCCGGCACAAAAGTGACACAAAAAGTTTCTCTCTTTGTCTCTTTGTCTCTTTTTTTTTACTTCTTTGAGAACTGATGGCAAATTATCTTTTTTCTTCTTTGAGTTTGAAGTTTCAGGAAGCGCGTCAAACAAAAACACGACTGTGTCTGTTGAGTTTGAGGATCTTGCCGAGTCTCTGTTTGGCTGTTGCCATTCCTTTTTTGGGCCTTTTACCTGCAAAAAATAAGCAACAAAAAACTAAACTATTAAAATATATATACACACACACACACACACACACACATTTAAGATGCATCAATGAAAACTAGCAATTTTACAATTTTTTTGTAATATTGATCACAATAGTAATAACTACACAAAAACTTAAATATTTCTTTTAGGAATTAAATTATTGCTAAGTGGAAGAAAAAAAATCTGTATTTAGCCCCTTTTTCTGAGGAAAACTACCACAGAATGATGCTGCCACCACCATATTTTACACTAAAAGTGTAGCAGACCAATCTATAACCTGAAGCTCTTAATAGCTTTAATGATCAATTAACCAGTTAATGTGCTTAAAAACAGATTTAATAAATATAAGAATATTTCTTTGCACTGATTTCCACAAACAGCAGTAAAAGCACCATTAACATGTTCTTAGATCTACTTTCCTTATTAGGTTGGAATCTGTGCTTTTCAAATAATAAATAAAAATTATTCTGCAAAATGAACAATTTTATGACTGGAAAGCTACCAAAAAACTCAAAGAGCTCGTGGCAGAAGGTATGAGGGAGAATTTATGCTAAATGAACATAATAATTGAATTGTGAATAAAAATGAGGAAAAAAAACATTACACACTGCAAAACCAAAATCTTACCAAGTACATTTGTTCTACTTCCTCCTACAAATATGTTATTACATTTCAAATAAGACAAAAGTAACTTTTGAGCAAGATAGATTAGTTTGCTTTAAATTAATAATTCCTCAATATTGATTAAAAATGGCAGATTATTTCACTTGTAACAGTATATTTTTCCCATGTTGTAAATTAAATAATCTCTACCTGTGATACTAGTACTTTTTAAATTAATATTAAGAAATTATTGACTTAAAACAAACTCCTACATCTTGCTGAAAAGTTACTTCAGTCTTATTTTAAGTGTATTAAAATATTCGCACTAGAAATTATACAGAAATACTTTGTCAGATTTAGTGTTTTTAGTATATGTTTGTACAAGGCAAACAGCAGTAAAACCAGCTGGCCAAATGTGCTGGAGTTCCACTTGCGTTGCTAGGCGACGGGCGGAACTCTGCTGGGGTTGCTAGGCAACGGGCAGTGCCAGTAGAATGTGATGCAACATTCTGTAAGTTTTTGAAATGGCTGATTTTCCACACAGCAAAAAATGTTAAGTTGTTGACAAAAAACGGCCAGGTGGTTTTTTTTAAGCACTTGGATTGTTTTTATAAGCAGCTAAAATTGAAGGTATAAAAACATTCAGAAAGTGACTTTTGTATAATATTTCTCTGTTGTTAAGAGTGAGTAGTCTGACTGCCAAACCTTTTGTAGCCTGGTTGCTGATGGGTGGAGGGTTGGGCGCGTTCCTCTTGGAAGGGTGCAGCGGCGGAGACATGGAGGGGTCACAGTACTGGTACTCCGTATTGGGGCTGGGGAGCCCTTGATTGTCCCAGGCCTCGCTGCTGCTGTTGCCCTGGCTGTCCATGGGGCTCTTGCCCCCCTGCAGCGAGCGTTGGGTCGAACCGGCCCACCAGGAATCCTGCGGCGACGGCGCCTCCTCCAGCAGACCAGCCATGGACAGCATCCCCTGAATGGCCTCTTCTGTGCTGGGTGAGGTAGGACGTTCTCTGCAAACCAAACGTCACCAGTCAGACAGCGTTCCTTCACTTTTCACCACTGTAAAATTACATTTCAATGCAAGTTTTAAACTTCTGGACACAGAAACAACACAAACAAAAAACTATTCTACAGAGCTGCAACTAAATTATTTTAATTACTGATTATTCGGTTATTCTGACGATTAATCAAATTAAAAATGGGCACATTCTGCTAATTTTTCATTTACCCACTTAGCCTTGTTCTAAACAATATAAGAAATGCATTTAAAAAATACAAATAAACAACTGAATTCCATTTTTAATAAGAAAATAAGCTTTTTGCTGCCTAAAATAAAAACCATTCCTTTAGCCAAAACTCTTCCTGCTTGAGGAGTTCTGGGCAGAACATATTTACAGACAAATAGGACTTTATCTTAAAAACAAAATGTATATGTATTTTGTACAGTTTTGGCTTAATTACTGCACTGACTGTGTTGCTCTAAGTAATTACTTAATTACTTAGTTGACAATTATTTCAACCGTTTAATCACGATTAATCATTTCAGCCCTACTGTTATGTGATATTTATTACTGTTAATATCAAATTAAATATACATAGAAAGACATAAAAAAAACTTTAAAAAATTATCCTGCTTAGTCTTCAGTCGTTTAGCAAATAGAAATGATTTTGTTAATTCTAACTAATCCAAAGCAAGAAAGTTTAGTCTGATTTAACTTCAAACAGTAGAAAACAAAATATCCGTCTTAAAAATATGGAGACTTAGATTTCACTTTATTACTGAACTGTGCGGTTTGGATAGTTACAAGGATTTTACACAGAAATCCAAAACTTTCCAAACCTCTAAAACAATAGAAATTGCAACATTTTCAAGGGCTTTCTGTCAGAGTGCTGAATATTTCAGCTGAAACTCACCGTTTGAGTGGTTTGTGTTTGTGCCTGAGTTTCTGACCCGACTGGTCCAGATCCATGCTGTGCCCTGAGCCGTTCTGCTGCTCCTCCTCCTCATCTTCCTCCTGGGAACTCTCTGAATCGTCGTCAGAAGACGAAGACGACGACGATTTACTCTAAAAAGGACAGGATTTCTCAGTAACCATGGCAACAACCAGCAGGTCTCGGCTAAACGCTTTGAAGGAGAGAATAAGGTTGTTTACTTCGGAGGGAGAGTCGCTGTCTGACTCCACATCCGAGACGCTCGAGTGTCCTGAGGTCTCCTCCCTGAGTTCATTCTTCACCCTCTCCAGTCGCCCTGCAAACAGAGGAGCAAATCATTCAGCCCAGGGCATTTACAATAAAAAACAAAGCTGGTTTATTGGTGGAAAGTTGCGGTTCTCCTACTGAGGAGCGATGCTTTCTCAGCTGTGCTCTTTGGTGGGCTTTGGTCGACACCCTCCGTCTTTACCGGACTGCTACCCGGTCGCCTTAAATCTCTAAAACACACAAAAAACAAACCTTTTTTGTAATTATTGACAAATTAAATTCATTTTGCTGTAAGGAAATTGCCACAATAGTTTTAATTTTGAGTGGCAGATTAATTATAAGGAGTTTTCTACGACTTTAGAAGTTCAGTGAAATAAAACCCAGCATATCAGGGTCACTGATATGCCGAGTACATTTCTGCCAAAAAACTCAGAAATATTTAGATTAATCTCTGAAAATTTATAGAAAAATCAACATTTCTGCACTTGAAAAGTCAAAAAAGGGAGAGAAAAAAAAAGAGGATTTTCCATGAGTGTAAACATCTGGTTTCATGTATCCGGTAGTTTGATGTGTTGGGTTGCTGCCTTACCGGATGATTCTGCCGTTGACCAACATGAGACGTAGGTGGTTGTCCTCCAAGGACTCGGCAGCTGCTGCCGATGCAGTCGACACTTTGTTGAACTTTCCGAGAACCTTGGCACAAAACGCTGGATCCTGGAGGAACAAGGACGACACGTCATGACGGGAAACAAAATCGCAAGATTTATGGTTATGATCAAAATTTACATATCATTCTTCAAGGGCATGGATTTCATTAGTTTTGGACTTTTAATGATTGATTTAACAAGATAAAAACAGGATTTGGCTCCCCCTACAGGCTCCAATGTAAAACTACATCCACATTAGTACCAGGTTAAATCTCCCCTAGAAAGTTGCAGCTCTGTGTCCACCCACACGTTTCTGGCTTGACCTTTGACCCCTCTTCTGGCTAAAATTGACATAGTTGAGAGAAGTGGCTTTATCCATTTCCAACAGTTCTGGTGGGCCGAGGTTCACAGAGTTTTACAACCATATGTGTTTGAAAAGCAGAAGTGGAGCCTCCCGCATAACCAACAAGAATGCAGCAAGTTGTTTCTGAATGGTAAGTCAACAACAAAACAGTTGTCTTTTCCAGCAGCCATTGCATAAAGCATAGAACAGTAAAACCAGCTGAAAAAATGTGCTGGAGCCCTGCTTGGGTTGCTAGGAAACAGGTGGAATTCCGCTGGGGGTTGCTAGGAAACGGGCAGTGCCTGTTGATTTGTGATGTTACAGAAGACTTTTGAATTGGCTCATTTTCCAGAGACTATAAAACATCAACTTATAGCCAAAAATCATCTTGTTGGGACTTTAAAAACAAAATAAAAGAAAAAACAGCAAACAATATCTAAATAATCTTTTTCTAAAATTATTTTGTCTTTTCATAAACAACCCAACATTATCTGTTTTAAAATTTTTATTTCATATTTAGGTTATTCTTAAACTGTTATTCTAACGGCCGCAAATGACCCCCAGGCCACACTTTGGACATTTCTAAACTGAAAAAACCAGCTGATCTGATCAATTAGAAATCATCCAAGTATGAAAATGTGAAGCTCACCTCTTCGAGCGTCCCCACCTCCACCCTCTTCAGCACCTCCATGGTGTGCTGCTCCAGGATGTCCAGGTTGGTCGGCGCCTTGGGGGCCTGCTGCTGCTCCCGGAGCCGCCGGGCGGCTCGCCTCGCCTGCCGCGCCTGGCACAGCCTCTCCAGGGCGCGGGTGGTGAGGCAGCCATTTGCTCCCAACAGTACGCCACTTCCCTGAGATTTCACTGGCTTGCTGCCGCTCACTTGTTCCTCCTAAGAGAAGGCAGCGCATGTTTTACTTGTCAAAATCAGACAAAAACATATGAGAACACGGACAGGTGGACAAATACAACATTTCACCAAATAAAACTATATCTAGTTGTATTTCTATGGTGAAATATTTCAAACCTCCTTACCTCCAGGTAGCAGATTTCCTTGGTCAGCTCCTTGATGAGATGGTTGGGCCGGATATTATCTGGAACCTCGCTGGTCGGCTCGGTCACCTGGAACAGCAACGGAGAAGGTGAGCAGACATCCAAACTGTGTGGACGAACCGTGACGTTGAAATGAAAGTACCTCTCTTTTCAACCACGTCCTCAATGCGCCAATTAAAGCCCTGACTCCGTCTACAAGGTAGGTTGGTGGAGGACAGCTGTCCTCACGTAGTTCTGGAAGGACAAACAGAAAATTCATGGTTTATACATGAAAATCAACAAGACAAATAGAAATGAATGTTTATTTAGTTCCATTACATGCTCACCTTTTAGCATTTCCAAGAGGTTTTTAGCCACATACCAACAAATGGCCTCAAAGTACGGAAACTTGAAGAGGTCTGGAGTTTTCAGGCGACGCTCCATTTCATAACACCTACAGTACAAAGCATATAGATTATTTATCAGGGTTTGCACACTTTTCAATTAAAAATACTTTATTGATTAAATGTTTAATTAGATTAAACTAAAAGTTTCCCACAGTAAAATTCAAGCACTTCTTAAGCATTTTCAAGGTAAGTTATAAAACTTTTCCAACACGATTAACGGCTTCAATTCACCTTTGTATATGTCTTTTTTATTACCGTTATTAATATGGATTCTACAATATAAAGCAGGGACAAGATAAACTAAAATAGAGCAAAGTTTTACGTTTTTAAATAGTCTCTCACAGTTGACAAAACTAATTTAACAAAATAAATGCCTCAATTTCAGTAATGTTACTTAAAATATAAGATTTTATTCCAATGAGACAGATCAATAAGTCATTAACGCCCCGTTTACACGACAACGATTTCGGGGGAAAACGGAAGAGTTTTGTTGCGTTTGTAGTGCGCATTTACACGAAACCACCGAATGTTTTCTCTGACAACGGCACAGATTGAAAACGGGTTCCAGAGTGCGATGTTTCTGAAACGTACCGTTTTCCGTTGTCGTGTAAACCGAGAAAACGGATCTTTTCTTCCAGAGAATCCCCAGCTCATGCATAGTATGACGCAAAACATAGCTGCTTCCTACAATCCACAGAAGAAGAAACTACTCACAATACTGGTGTTACTGTTTCCCCATCAGATACGGTTCCCTCAGCGTCTCTTCACCGCTCCGCACCGCCCAGGTGGCAAAATACACGGCTGCTTGTTCAGCCTCTAGAACTACGGACCAGCCCCGTCTCCAGACGAGTTTAACAGGGGGGGCATCGACTTATTTTGGGGGGGCAAAATGAGTCTACTAGCTGAACATAGACAACAACATCAATAGCATACAGGCTACTTGTTAACAAGCGTAAGGTTCTGTATTGATATTAGCTAGTCATCTTTTAGCTATCATTACCTGCATCCAACAGCTTTACTCAACTCAGTCGGTTAGTTTGGAGGGAAAAACTGGGCAAAGTTATTTACGTTTTGCTGGTTTGCTGCCATGATTCTAACACACACCTGCGCAGCAGCAGCAGGTCTACTTTGCTGCCTCACAGGTGTAAACCCAGCGCGAGCGTCTCAGCGTTAGTGTTGCGTTTAAAGGCGGCTCGGAAAAACAGGTTACGACTTGTTAGCAACGGATTAAACTGTTTTAACTGCTGGAAAAGGTGACAGAGGACACGGATATGGGAAGGGCGGGAGCTCCTATTTTATCAAATTTATATAGGAATAACAGACTGTTGGCCATTCCAAGGTAAAAACAATAAACAGCTTCCAGTCCGGGGCCCGCTACGGACACCGTGAAAGCTCAAACAAGGTGTTGCAGCAAAGTTATCCCACTTTTTCCAACTGCATGCGCCCTAATCAGACGCACACAATGCGTGTTTTCTCCCAATCTATGGGAGAACGGTACCTGATAGGGAAACACGAATCCACATGCCTTCAAGTAGAACTTTTTTTTAAACACATGCGCACTCAGTTTCAAAGAACCTAGCACCAACTAGGCGCAGCGACAGCATTACACGTTTTCGATGTGTGCCGTTAGTGTGTAAACACAGACCGTAATTAGAACGTTTTCGTGTAAACGAGCCAACAAAAACGGAACAAAACTTCCGTTTTTGTTGGATCGTTGTCGTGTAAACGCCCCCTAAGACATTAGGAATAATAAATATTCAAAAAATAATATAAAATAAAGTGTTCCCACTAAGTTTTCAAATAGAAATAATTTTGGTAATTCTAACTGACCTAAAGCTGAGCCCAGCCCCGTCACCTAGCAACCCAAACTCTGTCACCTAGCAACCATGGCCTGGCCAGGTTCAGCTCTTATTTGGATTTAAAGTGACAAGACGCCCTAAAGCAGCTCATTCTGAAAGAGTCGGGGTAATAATAAATATTCAATACACTGAAACAATCCAAAGAAATTGTGTTAAGGTAAATAACCTTCCTGCTCAAATCAAATACTAAAGTCACAAACATTTTTTTTTAGTTTTCTGGCATTTAGCAAACAGAAATAACTTTGATGACTAACTAACCTAAAAATTGGAAAGTTTAGTCTGATTTAATTTCAGACAGTGAGTAAAGAATGTGTGTATCATTTTATTTGGAGTATGAAAATAGCTGGTTTCAATTTTACATTAATACAAAACTGCAGTTTGAATATCAAGCACTTTTTTAGGACTTTATGCAGAAATCAAGCATTTTCCAAACCTTGAAAAAATGTTCAAGGATTCATAAGCCCTGATTGATGCAGAGAAAAGTGATAAATGATTTTTTTAAAAAGCATTTTAGAGGTGCTAACCTGAGCTGCATGCCAATATTGAGGTTGTGAAGGAAGTTCCCTCCGAATGCCATGCAATCCTGAGAGGTGAGAACACCATGGATCCAGCCTGTGGGGGGCAGCAGAGCACAGAGAAACATTTAATCCATCACAAAATACCCCATAAGAAAACAAATTCAACATGGTTACCAACTTTCATTTAAGAGAATGATACAAAACTGAGACTTTTTTCTCCTATTGTTGGGCTTTGGATTGTGAAAAAAACCAAAACAAACTGCAGCCATGACACGCCAAAGTGAGTCGAAGCAGATAGTTTGTAAGACTGACAGGCCTGATAATACGCTGGCTGTCTGACCCACTGTGCTCTCTGACCCCCACTTAATTCCCGCCTCTCTGCCAAAAAGGATCCCTTTCACAAGGCTGCAGAGGAAGACTGATTGGAGATGTCCAGGAGTTGACGGGCCAAACTGAGCTTTGTCTGTCTGGGTGGGGGGTGAGGGGGGGTACTATCAGTTTCCAAAATCCATTGAGAAGCTTGATGGACGGATAATCCCGGACACGTCCGCTTCACTCCACTGAATGAGAGGCTCGACATTCGGTGAGTGACGGGAGGCGACCATCTCTAACAACGCTAATAGTTAGTAGCTATATAATTAGCATTTAAGTGCTGCTAGCAAAAGAGCTAGAGCCTCCCACAAAAGTATTTACACCCTTTGAACGTCTGCAAAGTTCATCTTCAGGCTGGGTGACAAATGTATTTTATTGATTAATGGAGCTTTTGGTTTTGAAATTAAATTTTTGGGGAAATTGTGATTTTCAGGGCGGCCATCTTGTTTTGACAAGCAAGTTTTACATTTTCTATTTATTTCGACTTTGAATTCAGGTCAACTTTATGGTGGAGTGTTGGCGCCAGGCTAATATTTGTTACTTTTAATTATGAGAACAAAGTCGTAATGTTGAGAACAAAGTAGTAATATTACCAGAATAAATTTGTAATATTATCAGAATAAAGTCATAATTGTATAAGAACTCAAGCATGTAAAAATATAAAACACTTAAATTAGGAATTTTGAACATCTTGTGGAGTTTTGCTGAGCCACGAGTCAGAATTCCTCCCGTTAACCAGGCAAAATGGCCTAGTCAAAGCCCTGCCCTAAAACAAATAATGCATGCTCAGACAAACTCCTTTCAGAGATCTAGTAAGTGTGCAAAGAAAAATGAGGCTAAAATTTACATCTGTACACGTGCAAAGCTGGAAGAAGCTGCATAATGCATAAATAATTTTTCTTCCACTTAATTATGAATGAATTTATGAATTTATTTATAAAACACTCACTAGGAGTTATAAAAGAATAAAGATGAGCATCGCAAAACATACAAAACAAACATGCATAAAAGCTACTTACACAAACTAAATAAAAGATGAATAAAATAAGGAAAAACAAAGAGAATCTGAGAACAAACCCATCTTCTATTCTGCACAGAGACGTTTTATTGTAAATTTAGTCTGATAAAAACAGAGAGATCAACAGTGGGCGTCTTCTGAATATTTTCACAAGTACATCCCAGCTTTTCTTCCACTCTATCCAGATGGGCCAAACAGGAAAACGCATATTTTGATATATTTCTGTCAGCTTACAAGCTTAAAAACAAAACGCTTCTAAAAATCATGCAGGAATAATAGTAAAAAAAAAACAGTGACCTTAAGGCACATTTTGTATATTTATCTAATGATAATTTTTAACACAATGCAAAAACAAAATCTTCCAAGTATTTTATATCTAGTTTCTACTGAAAATATCCAAGTACACTTGAAAAAAGACAACCAACTTACAAGTAACTTTTAGTCATTGGTTTTAAGTCGTATTGATAAATACTGGTTTCACAGGCAGATTATTTCACATAACTTCTTCAAAAGTTATTTATAAGTTAATTATGTCTTTTTTCTAGTGTACCAAGTTGAAACTAGATGAGAAAATATGCAGTTTTGTGTTTTTACAGTGTAGAAACAGAAAATCTAGACATTATCCCACATAGTTGCACATTTCATTGCATATCTAATAAATGTACATGCAAGTTTCTTAGTTTGCAATCTAATTCGCTTATTTTATTTCACTTTATTTTATGTGAACTTTCATGTTCCAATTTGCTGCTATTTCACCTGAATAAATGACATTTCTACTGTAATTTAAATCAAACAAAATTAAAATGCATTTAAAACAGAAACTCTAGACATAAAACTAATATTTCCAAGAGTTTTATATTTAGTCGTTTACCTTATTAATCTGTCTGTTCAGAACATAAACATGCAGACTAGACAGAGCAGGACTGGATGTCCCGTTTCAGGATGTTGTGCAACTATTTTAACAAAGTGAGTGCTGAAAGCCAATGACCTCAGCTTCAGGTGAAACCAAAGTTTACATGTACATTAGCTCCAGTGCGTGTTCACAGACTGTACCAGAATCAAACCAGTTTTTTCAGTTCCCATTGTCAAAGAGCTGGACTCAGGCCAAGATGGCTGCTGCTTAGGAGTAAACAGTCTGTCATTATCAGAGCCATCTTTCTCTGGATCAGGAGAGTGACGAACGACAACAGAAACCGACTCAGCTAGCAAGACAAAAATATAAAAAAACGCACTTGTTGCTAATTGCTAACATGTTCTTGCATCTCATGTCTAAAAAGTGAGAAAGTTTGAGATTTGAAGGTTTTCAGCCAATAGAAGAATTAAAAGGACTTAGAAGATATTTCGGGCTTTAATTAGGACAAAAATGGAAAGAAAAGGGGGATTTGTTGAGAGATGAATGGGTTGAAATAACAGATGGAGGAATGAACCAATGGAGAAATGGACGGACAAAAAGTGGAAAGTCGGATGTCTGAATGAATGGAGGGATGAACAGATGGAGAGAAAGATTGATGGGCAAAAACATCAGCATGGTTGGTCAACAAGACGGAGAATGTTAGAATATTTTCTAAACTCAACTTTCTTTAACGCGATCTGCAGAAGAACTCTGCTGAACAAACCAATGGTTCTGCTACAGGTTCCATCTGTTTAAAAACATCTGTAAAAACCAGTTGAAAGTGAAACCACAAACCTGTAGGGATGAGCAGGGTGGTTCCTTGGGTAATAACACACTTGTAGCACTTATCCACTTTATCCCCGAAGAACACTTCGCTCTGATTGGGCGAGGAGCTCCATGCCTCGTATAGTGCAAGGTTGGTGGGAGTGGGTTTGATCAAGTAGAAGATCTTCTCACCCTGCCGGTCACAGAGAAACATGTTGGAGACAACGGATCATCTTCCTATTACCCACCCCGCCTACCACCAATCTGAAACTTACCCACAAAACATGGTACCAGACTGAGGTTCCTCCAAAGTCTATGTGGAAGTCCGTGTAGCTGTCTTTAACCCCCATAAGGCAGTACTTCTGGACGAAGGGTTTTGGGAAGAACGAGTCATCAGGCCAGTAGTTTTCCACCCAGGACATTTTCTTGGCCACATCGGGAACCTCGACCAACTCTGCCATCCTACAGGTTGAGGAAGAAAAGCCAAATATTAAAGCCACCTAGAGATTGGAGCTAGTTTTATACACACATTCCTGTCTTCCTATGAAAAAATGCAACAACATGAAATGTACATGATTAAAAAGTAAATTCAGAAAGGATTTCATGCTATGCAGATGATGCATTACTACATCTTCCTATAAAAATAAAATAGTTTGTAAACAAAATAAAATGTGAATTTTTAAAGAATTTCTTTGTATGCAGACAATTCATTACAATTTATCTCCAATTTCATCATGAATATTACATTGTATGCAGACGATTCATTGCAGTTTTCCTCTATCTTGTAATTAGAGGACATATTCATTTACAACATCCACATTCAACTCCAAATGGCATTTTTAAAAAAAAGAAAATGTATAATTTAAGGTTAAATTTGATTACATTTAGACAATTCATTACAGTTTCTCCTATTTAACCATTTTTAACATCCAAATTCAGCTCTAATTGCAGTTACATTAGGGATTTCATTGTATGCAGATGATTAATTATTACTACTTATTCCTATTAAGACATTCCTAATTTGTAATGTAAACTGCAAATGAATAAAGGCATATAAAAAGTTGAATGAACTCTCTTACTTTGTGTCGGAGAACTCCAGGCTGATGAGGTTGAGGACTTTGGGTCGATGGGGTTTGGTGAAATACTTGATAAATTCGCTGAGTTTCATCTTGCTGTCCGCCTGCCGTGCCACATCAATCACGTCGATAACTTTGTCACCACCTAGATGGGAGAAAAGCACTCTTCAGCTCATGGAGGATCAGAGGATAACTTCTGCAGCTGCTGGATTTCTGAATGCCAAATATGAGAAGTTTTTAATTGGCCGCTGAGTGGGCGAGAGGTTCAAAGGGGTCAACAGCTTGCTGCCATGTTTGTGTGCTCCAAGAGACTGAACCCTGAGGGAAACTGGCATCAATGTGGCAGCATGGGGAGGGGCTACAAGGGGATGCAAGCGAGACAATCTGTCCAGACCACCAGTCCCCTGAGGAGGGGAGTGAGTGGAGGTGAGAGGGCGGTTGTGTTTGTTGCCAACGGGCCTTTAGCTTGTAGGGAAATGCTGGTAAAGCGGTGAGCAAAAGTGTACAGGAATCGGATGTTTGATATGCCGAGAGAAAAACTGAGGAAAAAAGCCAAAACGGAGACTCTGTTGATACAGTTGGGGCGCTACAAATCACAGTCCAGAAAGGCTGGACGTCGAACCAGGACAGCTGGTTCTTGTGTTCTCCCCACTCCCCGCCCACACCTCCTTTTTTATTGCCTCGTTGCATGTTCCTGTCTGACTCTCTCGCCTCTGACGGCCCAGCTGGCCAGTGTCTGATGACGGAGAACAGCTGGAGCGAAGGCAGTCCGTCACACGGAGAGGCGAAGCTGCCAGGAAACCCCACAGACCTCAAACAGCAGCTTCACGACTCCGACAGCAGCACAAACGACCACAAGCTACAGCGTCAGTAACGCTGACACAGTGACGCCACAATAACACTTTACCACACTTTGTAGCCAAACAAGGCCCTGTGTCAAGATAAACTGTCCTATCTGCGAGGTTTCAGCTCAGATTAGAGTGACTTTTTACATCAAGTTGTATTTTTCTGAAGAATAAAAATGGTTTTTTCAGTAAAATACAGAGACTGTGTTGGCGTCATGTGACCTACGCTCATATATCCCAATATAGCTGTTCCTGTGGGGAAGAGCTGCACAGAGAGCAGCTGAAACACAAATCAATCAAGTTTAAGACGGTCAAAGCAATTATTTTAAAGCAAAAAAGAAATTATTTAACAACTTTTGTCCATGCAATATTTTATTAGTAAATAACTATGATGATAGAACATTTACAAGGATTTTTTAATTTCATCTTAAATGCAGAATGTACATATTTTGTATACAGTTTTGGCTTTATATCTGCTCTGAGTGTGTTCTTTCAGCAAATGTCCTTTTTTGAGTCTGTATATTATAAATAACGATTAATTGATTGCTAAATTAGTTGACGATAATTTTCTTAATTGATTAATCACAATTAATCTGATTGTTTCAACCCTTGTTTTACCCTTTTAATTCTTAACTTATTTAAGTCCAAATCAATCAAATCATGAGCTCTTTTAAATTTACTTCCTATTAAAATAAAGATCAATAGCTCAAATCTGTTGTGTCAATATATATAATTATGTAAAAAAAACTGAAGCTTTGTTTAGTGAGATACATTTTCAGCACCAATAATTGCAAACTTCACGATCTGGAGAAAGGATCAGCTCTGATTTCCTGCCTTTTTTGAGTCTGTACTCCAATTAATGATTAATTAATTATTTAAATAATCAATTAATCACAATTAAACCAATTAGTTGTTTGAGTCCTAGTCTTAACCTTTCATTTCTTCAATGGGAACAAAAAAAACCACTTATTTAACTTCAAATCAATCACATTATGAGCCCTTTTAAATTTGCTTCCAATTAAAACAAAATGACTCAAATATGTTCCGTCAACATCTACTACTGTGTATAAATAACAAGAAATACAAAATAAAGTTTCCACTTCCCGACCACACACTGCATTTGCAGCAGCGATAAATACAAAGCCTCGTAAGCTGGAGAAAGATATCAGCCCTGATTTCCACTGTCCCATGTTCTCCCAGGTGTAGAGAAGGCGACCTGACACCCAGTCCCTGGTCACAACACCTGCGCCGTGGCTTAGAGCTCATCAGTGCATGTGGAGGAAGCGATAAAATGAGGGGCAGAGCCTGTAATCTGAACTTAATGACAAAAACACTGGTGGGCTTGGTAATGGGGCTTGTAACAGGAGCTGGGAAGTGGCGAGCTGTCAGTGAAGGAAGCGAAGTGGTCACAGAGAGGGCAGTGAAAGCTTAGCCATCACCCATTTAGAACCCATTCAGCCATCGCCTGATGCCTGATAAGTGGCTTAAAACCCCATGAACCTGGAAACCTGCTCATATCGGCACACAGATGGCGCCTGCTCAGCAGCAGCCACTTAGCTGCCTGGTGTCGGGTCGTTTCATTAGCTTTTAGGCAGAACAGGAGAACCCGCCACAGGAGAAACCAGCGTGTTGCTGTAAATGTGGGAAAAAGGTTGATGTAACGTTAGGAGATGCATCTGAAAATTTTAACGCATTAATTCATCGAACAGCCTGATTTGACCTAGAAGCCTCCAGTTACCGAGTTGTCAGCAGCACATTATGGACGACCAACGACAGAAAACAGGCGTTTTCTGTAACAGCAACAAAAGTTGAGCGTTTTTTAACTTTATTGGGTAGCATCACTAGCTCAGGCTTGAAATTCACAAACTACACCAGCTGGATGAGGACAAGCGACTGTCGCCTAATCACACAGGCTCCACAGGAAATTAATGAATACAGAGAGTTGTGTTTAAAACAAAATGGCTTCCTTATTAAAGCCTTCCTGAATATAAAAACGGAAAATCTTCAAACCTGTTTGATTTGACAGTAAAGGTGGACAATATGAACTTCAAGCTGAATCACAATCTTCTGTGGTACTACAGTGATTACAAAGCTCACAATAACCATTTATTACTACTGTCTTAGGTTATAATAGTCCCTGAATGCCACAGCAATTATTGTCCCACAAACATAAATATTGTTATTGAAAAACATTCCCTTCTATAGGACATCAGTCACTTAAAAAATAAATTGTGTCACTGAACTGCACATGGTAACTGCATTTAATCATATTATCTGACTTGGAGACAACATTACCTGCTTTGTTCTTCAAAAAACTAAAAGAAAACAGATATTTGCTGCATTTCAATTGGTCAGGTTGAGCCAGAAGAAGATTCTAGTGAGAACCACAACTGCATGGATATTTATACTTCATGCTTACAAAGTTAGGCGCAGTGATTAATCGTGATTAATTTTTTAATCGATTGATGGAACTAGGTTGTTATCAAGCCTCCTTACCCACATACTGCTCCACGTCTTTGACGGAGAAGGTGGGAGGGGGCAGCTTCAGACCCAGGCCCTCCATCTCCGTGATCACGACGGGGTAGTTGAAGCCGTGTCTCTCCAGATACCTGGTGGTCACCTGCTCGCCCTTCATCCGTATCAGGATCTCCTCTGCACTGCAAACCAGATCACAACAACATCCGGCCTTAGTTTTGTTTAGAATCACAAAAAGATTAACAGAATAGTTTTTCTAATAAAGATAAAGCTGGTTCTGGGTTATCTCAGTCATAAAAGAAACAGGAAGAAAACGTTTTTAGGTGTGTGTGTGTGATGATACACACCTCGGGAAGGTCCTGTGCTGGAGCTGCTTAACAAACACAGAGGTACCGGCCTGGACCGGCTTGGACCCGTCATCTGGCTCCGTGTAATCGTGTCTGTGCCAGTTGTTGCGCCTTTTCACTGCAAAACAAATACAAACATTTATTTTTATTAGTTTGATAAAAACTGAAACAATTATTCTAGTTGTACATTATTCCATCAATTAATTGTCAGAATAATTGATTAATTGGATAAAATTTGACACATTCTGCAGTTTTCATTTAGCTGAAGCAGCCAGTATAAATTTAAGCTAATAGTCTTTTTTGTCATGATTAACCGATTACTAAATTAGTTGACGATTATTTTAATAATTGATTAATCTGAAGAATCATCATTATCTGTTATCCTGCAAATCATGGAATAAAAGAAAACATGAATTCCCTACTTAACCCCTGTGCTCTTACACAGAGGAGCTTGTCCAATCAGAGTTTACAACAGCATTCAATTAGCCCGTTAATGTCTGCCCTGAGGGGTCGGAAAGGTCAACCCAGCCCCCCCACAGCCTCTTAAGTAGAGAGAAAAATAACTTAGACTTGACTAACACTCCAGAGAGCCGCGTTTCCCCCGGGAGCAGTCCAGCATGCAGAGACTGAGGTGGTGGGCAGTTAATAAAGACAATGAGAGGCTGTGAGTACGGCTGGGGGAAGGAGGCAACTGACGTCTGCCAATAACGACGGCGTTACTCACTCAGGGAGGGTCCGTGTTTGACATCGCAGTTGGGGCAGTGGTAGACGTCGATATCCACGGCATGGTGCTCCTCAACGTGAACGCAGCTGAAACCAAGCGGAAAAACTTTGATTAGCACCAAATTTAAATGTTAAATACTTTATTTAAAACAGAAAAACACTGAAAGAAAAACCAACGGTACCCAACAATCAGGAGTAACATCAGTGTGACGCAGGGGTTACAAAAGCTGAGTGGAAATAGTTATTCAACAGATTGTGACCATTAAACTAACTTCTTCCATACAGAAACGAACAATGGAAAAACGTGCGTCCAAACGAGGCGATGCAGCGCCACAGAAAACGCTGTAGTAGTTCTGCCAGGCCCATTGGTGGCGCTATGATGCTGCCACACAACAATGCAAAAAAACACAGTAAGACCCAACGCTGGACGCATGTAGACACAGCTTAAACAACAGAAAACTTTGAAAAATGTGTCTAATTTTGTCTAAATTTCTGTGAGTTTGGGTTTTAATTTGAAAGGTTGCTTGTGTTGTTGCCGTGTTTTTCCTGCACACGTAGTCTAGTCAAAGTACAGAGCTCGACTAGGCCAATTCAAAGCCATCATGCTGGTAGAAACTGGCAAATTTGGACGATGATATCAAACCTTTAAGTTCAACAAACTGTAAAAACTAATTTGAAACAGATGCAACAAATCATTGCATGTCTCAGTCACACCGAATCAGAGGAAAAACATTCACATCACCTGAACATCGAGCAAACATTGTGATGAACAAAAGCTAAAATGCAAGCAAAGCTACCAAGCTGAAGGAGAGAGATTAATTCACACCAGTACAGTCGACGACTCTGCAGCAGCAACACCCACTCTGCAAGCCGAAACTGTTCTGCAACAGCCAAACCACAAGCTTGTGCATTCCTCTGCTGCACAGCGAAGGGCCATTCCCGAGCGGCGCGAGTTAAACAGCAGCTGGGTCTGAACTGCGGGAAACTCTGGCAACAAGTGCAGCGCGATGACGCCAACATCTTGCGTGACCAGGCCGGACGGTGGGGAACAAGAACCGACCATGTTGGGGCAAAAGCAGCAGAATCAGGAGGGTTTGGTGACGTAGAGGACTTTTAAAAACTAAAATATAAAAATACATAAGTAGGAAGAAGGATTGGTGATCAATAAGAAGTAAAAAAATTAAAACAATACGGATTTGGTGACTGAGAAGCTTTAACAAAATAAGTAAATACAATTTTTTTTAATATACTAAAAGTACGAAGAATGGTTTGAGAAAAATTTTCCACAAGAAAATAAAATTGAATAAAAATAGTTTTAAAAAAATATATAAATGTGTAAAAAAAAAAAAATTAAAATAAGAGTTTATTCATGTGAAAAGTTAATTAAAAATGTAAAAAAATAAAATAAAAATAAGGGTTTGTTGGTGTATGAGGTTTTTATTTAAATAATAAAAATAAATAAATTTAAAATAAACAGGAGTTTCTAAAATATGCAAAATAATTTAAAAATGTAAAAATATAAATAAATGAAAAAAAAGAGTTTCCAAAATATATTGTGTAAAGACTTTGATGATGTATCGGAAGTTAAAAAAACAAAATAAAAAATGTAAAAAATAAATAAATCAGGGTTTGTTGATGTGTGAGAAGTATTTATTTTTAATAAAACTACATAAAAACAAGAGTTTGTAATGTATGAATTAAAATAACTAAAAATAAATTAAATAAAAAAGGATGGGTTATTGATGTATGACAGGTTTTTTTAAAAACTAAAAATTAGGAGAAAAAGAAGCACTGCTGATGTACAAGAATCTTTCAAAAATGTAAAAAAAAAAAGTAAATAAAAAACAGTTTGCTGATGCATGAGAAGCTTTTCAAAAAAATAAAAATATCCACAACAGTCTGAAGATGGGAAGTTAGGAGGTGAAGGTTTAACTACGCCTCCATGTTTCGTTTTCCTGCTGAAACCGCTTTGCAAAAAAAAAAAAACATTTCATGTTTTCTCACATTCCAACCTCAAATCAGGGGGATGAAGCAGCACAAAATCCACAGAAAAACAAATTACATTTACAGTATAATTAAAAATTGAAACCGTCTTGTTTACAAAATTTCAAAGCCTGACTTTTTCTCTTTCTCTATAAAATATTAAAATAGTTTTATGCCACAGAACCACACCTTTCAGACTTATATTTGTAAAGAAATGTAACTTTTTTCCACCTTACAGCTACTTCTAGTCGGTCTATCAAACTAACTTTTTGGTTGAGAACCAACAAGGCCATGACGAATAGCAACAGCCGCATCGTTTTGCTGCTTCAAAGTAAAAAAAAAATAAAAGCCTGGAGCTGAAATGAACTCAGCCATGACCTGCAGGAAACTGTAACGGAAATAGAACCGAAGAGCCAGTAATTAATCAGGAAGAAGCGAGCCGGTACCGGCCCAAATGACTTCGCTGCACCAACAGGAAGCCAACAGTGGCTTCCTCTCACTCGGCTACCACAGAGCCCCTCAGCTCACTAAACATCGACTGCAGAAGGTTTTAATCAGGCAGGCTGAGGGCTACTAACCCAACAGTAAGTCCATCCAGGATGTTCTCACGTTCTTCACTGGTTGTTGTGGCTCAAAACTACTGATTTGTAGCAAACTTCTCCCAAAAAGTTGCAGGATTTATATTTTTTTGGTGTGAATTAATATTTTTCTTCGACTTGGGGGTTTTGTTTGCATCTTGGCATTTTTATAACAAACAATAGAGAAACTTGAAACTGGCAGAAACGGTAGGCTGCCTACTTTGGTCAAACATGTAAAAATAAACTGCAACAAACCTGTGAAATGGTTCAGGAAGTAAAATTAGGAGCTTAAATATAAAATAACGTCAAAGAACAAAGCAAAGAACTAGATTTGATAGATCTGCCCTTAACGATCAGGTACAATCTCACCAATACCCAATTTTGATTTTTTTTTTATATTAAATATTGAAATCAGATTGGTGCATCTCTTATTTATGACATCAACTTCTTTTATTCATTTTTTCAAATTTACTGATATTTACTAATGAAATTGAGGAGAAAATAACAAAAATTGTAAAAAAAAAAAAAAAAAAAAGAAATGCTTAAGTCAGTTTTGTTGTGAAACTTATCAATAATTGTTATGACTATAAATGATCAAATAAATGCCTCCCTGGTTGTTTCTAAATCAGTTTTAGCTTCTTTATGGGACACATTTGGTAAAAACGGATAAAAAAACAAAACAGGGAAAATGTCTTTGCTCTGAGCAGCAGCAGCACTGAACAGCTCATGTCTCGGGAATCTCTGCTGACTGTGAGTAACAGCTTCATGCAGCCAGGTCGGCTCAGATGTGCGAGGAAAGCACCATTTCATTCTTTCCTTTATGCAACACATTAGGAAATAAACACTTTGCGCCATAAATGCCTGGCTGACTCAGCTTAAGCAGCAGCTGCAATGCAAGCTGCAGGAATCATCGACCTGATTGAACAGAAAGGGAAGTTCTTCCTGCTTCGCTCGGGGTTTGATTGCATCACTGCGACCAAAGTTGACCTTTATGAGCTGCACGGTTCGCACACTTTCCCCACTTTTCAAGCGTTTTCTAGCTGGAAGCAATACAAATTAACTAAAAGAAAGAAGAAGAAAAAAGTTTCAATTTGCAGCATCATTTAAAATATAACAAAATTTTATGTTTTCAAATGTCTCGTGAACAAAATAATTCATCCAATTTCTATAACTTTAACATATGAAATACAAATCATTGAGCATTATGAGTAATAAATATCATTTCCATTGAAACAATGCAAACAAATCATGTTATAGTGAAATTAAATGTTTAAAAACATACAAAAAATATTTAAAATATTCTCACCAAGTTTTCTGGCATTTAGCAAATACAAATAATTTTGGTAATTCTAATATAACAAGAAAATGTTAGTCTGATTTAACTTCAGACACCAAGATAAAAACATCTGTTTTTGTTTTGTATATGAAAATACCTGGTGTTTTGATCCGACACGATAAATTGTCCAAGAAGTTCTGATAATATTATTTTTGAGACATTTTCATGTAATATACTCATAAAGGCATAATTTCAAGTTCATCCCAAAAAACTTTGATTTCTTATTAACATTTAACACTGGAACAAAGTTGTAAGCCTGGCGGGCCACCAGGCTTTACTTGCTCGTGCCAGGCTATACTTGCTTGTTTTATTTTATCTAAATGTTGTTTTTATTGCAGTTTTAAGCTTTTAAAGTTGGTGTTTAGGTACTTTAACACAATTATTTTGTGATATTTTAAAATTTCCTGTAAATTTTAAACATTTTTAATCTCAAAAACAGGGTAAGTTGCTGGATGACTGCACCATCACTTACTAAAGTTTCTGGAGTAAACACGATGTAATATATTTTAAATATCCAAAATAAACAAAAAAAAATGAATTTTGAAGTCTCTGTAACCAAAACTGCCCTTCATCAAAAGAGCTGGATGAGACCAAAACACCAGACTGAAGACTTTTATCATCCAGTTTTTGGTAGAAAGAGAAAAGACAATCATGTAAATGGAAACCATCGAGCTCATTTTAGTTTGTAATTGATTTATTGATTACTACAACATACTTACTGGTTTCAACTGTAAATAATATTTCCCAAATTAAGGCTTTTAATCAGACATCAGAATGATTAAAATTGAAATAACTGAAAATTGAAGCACTTTCAAGGATTTTAAGAGGTAGAAAGTTAGACAGTTGGTAGAAAACCAGAAGCTTCACACGGTGTACAGCTAATCTGACTCCTATAGATAAAACAAAACATGTGTGTGTGTTTGGTTAACACACACACGCTCTTCCCTCCGCTTCCTCTCATCAAGGGCCTCCTTCCTGTGCGACTGAGAGGGCTTATTCATTAGTCGGCGCTCCATCAGGGGTTCATTGTCCCCACAGATCAGCGCGGAAACACAAAGGCTGGAGGCGGGCGCCGCCATTATTTTAAGCTCTAAATAACCGCTCTGCATGGGACGGCGACACACCCACATTAGGGAGCTGGCACGGCCCTAATGGGTGGTGATGGAAAGGAGATGAGGGTAGTTAAACAC